CTGGCACCTCTGGTTCATCCTCCTCATCTTCTTCATCTTCACCTACTTTAAATCAAACATTCTTTTTACTACAAACTAAAAAAACATTGAGGTTTTGCTCATAACAACACAAAAGCACAGCTCATAATAAAACAGACAAATAGATCTTAGTGCAAATARATCTTCACAGCATGACTGTAGGAATCTATAAGCTCATATGTGAACACCCAAAGAGCTGTCAGAAGCTCGTGAACAGGCTGTTGTGCATGTGTGGGTGTGCATTAGTGCCCTGAGTGCATTAACAGCCTTTGCTGGTCCTGAGCAGCCTCATCTGAGGATTCCCCACACCCCTGACGAGCTCTGGAGCCCCAGCTCAGCTCAACCCCTGACAGTCCACCCTGGCTGAGCTCAGAGCTGAGCTCTGGCACTGGGGGAGCACTGGCTGCTCCAAACTCAGGGCAGATTTCTGTAACAGCCACCCAGACCATCAGGCAGAACTGATTCTCAGATAAGTACTTTCACTGGGCCAAGTCAAAATTGACCAAACATCATCAGTCCTGGAATGTTCTTTATTGCCAAATGTTGTAGAGAAGTTTAGAATTTGCTCTCCCATCCAGATAGTGTTACCACAACAGTCCTGAGGCTCACAGCATTAACTCTCAAATGCTGCTTGCACTGCCTAGGAAGCTGCAGGAAAAGAAAATACTCAGCAGCTTCAGGCACATTTATCCACTGATAACAGCACAACTGCACTGACTTCAAAGGCACGGATTCAATGTTCAGCCAGAGCAAGTTTAGGATATTTTAGCAAACAAACTGAAATGTGTTTGTCTTCTACCTAATATTCATATACCTGGTACATCACAGGGTGGATAGGGATCTTTATCCTCCTCCTCTCCTTCTCCATATTCACCAATTGTCACCTGCAGCAAAGAAAGGGATGCACAGGAAGCAAAGTTTTAATATGGAGTACAAACTTCAATAGAAAGCAAACCAAATAAACTTCTAAACTAAGAGAAGTGAGTTTTCTGAAGCAGAGTAACTGAGAAGAGAGGAGAGCTGACATTTCATTACCTATTTTTCAAAGATGATTTTTCTACATTTTTATCCACATTTTTMTGGCTGTGTAAATCACAATGAGAATACAACCAACACACTGACAAAAGCTGAGTGTTTGAACATTCTACTAAGAGTTTATCATTCACTTATCTTATTGTATTCACTAAACAAAATATCTACAGGGATGCTAAAAATGGTCACATTTTTCTACCATTAACCATTTTGTTCTCTAAGAATGTCTCTTCTCAGGATATCCTGGAACTAAAATTATTTTCTGGATGAAGAAACATGTGAGGATGCAAAGCGTCAGAACTAAGTTTTGATTGCCTTGAAAAAATGTAGAGATGATGGGCTCATAAAAGAAATTGTACAATGCACAGTAGTCTTGAAAAGTTCTCCCTATCAAAATTGGTAAAACTGCTTCTTAGAAAAGAGACAAATTTTAGAATAAACACCTTACTATCCTTGGGCTTCTTTTGGTCACCTTCTGGCTTCTCACTTTTTTTATTTTCCAGACTTTCTTTTCTACAAAACAATACAATAACAATTACAAAGCATGCCATGCAAAGACAGACCATTTTAAGCGAGCTATACCAATTCTATGAAAGTTTGAAAGCCTCATAGTAAAATATTTAAAATATTTTGTACAGCTGCAAGTGTCAGAGCAATAAAATTTGCTGTATTTGAATGCAATGATCCATTTACAAGATTATGATTTTGAATATAATTCCAGAGGCTAATCCCTAAAGAATTCAATGCATGATCATTACTYCTTTCTAGAGGGATAAACTGTGCCCTTGGACTCAAACAAACAACTTTCATTGACTTCAACAGGCTTGCACTGATTTCAAAAGAAGGTTTTCTACTTGTCTATATAAGGCTTAGAGAACTGATTCCACATAGAGTTGTGCATTGGCAACAACAGATAAATTCTCGTGCTAATTGCACAATAAATCCTAATGTTGCAATGTTTAAATATCAGTTGGCTTATCATTATAGTCTTAATTCACCCCAATTACTGCCTAACTTTTATCTAAAATCATACTGTTTGGCTATTACTTTAGTGTCTAGGCAAACTTTTTGTTTCCTGAGTCCAGTACATTTTGAAGATGGTAAAGACATTCATATGAAAACAATTCCTTATAGAAGAATTCAATACCCTCCTCCTTCCCTCTCCTGCTTGTTCAACATGTCCATCTATTTTACCTCGCATTCTTTTTCCTTTCCTTTTCTTCAGCTTCTTCTTTCTGAGCTGTATTTAGACTTTCAGCATCTGCCAAGTTATCCACAGCAATGGCCAAAAAGACATTTAGCAAGATATCTATTTCAAATCATTTTAAGGACATTATGCCTTACTATACTTGTGTGGTTTATTATCAGCATAAACACTGACAATGTGAGAGATATAAAACACATGTTCCCAACCTACAGCGTGGAGGTTTGTGATGCTGGAGCGTAGTGCAAACATCACCCATTTAATGGTGAGACTGAAACTGGCTGGAAAGTGAGCAGAGATCCATTAGGGTCACGGATTTTAAAACAGCAGAACGCTTGAGGTAGGTTTTGAAATAAATGGAATTTAACTTCATGCTAGCCTGAGCRAGTTCAAATATGAATTGTCTATTATATGTGAAGACTGCACAGGCATTTTGAARAATTCATTTTTATAATGCACTGTCTTCTGTGTCTACAACAATCTATATCAAATTCAGTTCTTCAGTCCATATTAGTTAATMACAAATACTCATACAAATACCATATAGTACAGGAAATGCAATGTTTTTGCCCTTTCATCACCTCCTGACCTTTTAAAACTTCTGAGAATTGTGGTGGTTTGTTTCTACATGGGGCCAAGGGAGAATTTCCAGAACACTGAAGGCAGGGAAGGGGAATGTTTCAGCAGGTTTATCCCAGTCCCTCTCCCTGGTCCCTCTCTCAGAGGATCCCTGGCTGCACTCTCAGCTCACTCAGAACTCAGGGGCTGCTTTGAGCATGGAAGGGACGAATGGGGCATCCCTGCCCCATGGGCAGAGGGGACAAACTGCAGGCACAACCAGGCTGTGTCCCAACTGAGGGAACAAAGAAAACATCCTCTGCTTTGTGCCATGGTGGGGGCTGGAAATGGCCCAGGATCCCTGACCCTCACTCCTAAGGGAACGGGACACAAGGAAAAGTCTATTTAAAGCACTTGGCTGGGGCCATTTGCCCCCTCCCAGAGGGATTTTGGCCACATCCCTGGCACACAGCCCCTCCTGGAGATGTTTCAAGCCTGGGTAAAGGATACAGTTGCCACAGATGAAGAGGATAATGAAATATATACAGACTATCATGCCTGAGGATGATGGCCCACCGTATGCCATGATGCCATCATACATAACAGCATTCCAGTCTTCACCTGTTAGGATCTGAGAAGCAGAGATCAGTAGATTAGGAGTCAYTCAGCATCAAAAGTGCAATAGAGAAACACATTTCCCCTGACCACATGATAAGCGAACCTTCTGTGTGCATAAAGCAATAYCATATTCTTTCCATGCATTGTGTTMAAATTCCCAATTAAATAAGCATCTCCTTAAAGCTCTAATGGCTTTTATTCTGCATTTCTATCACTGAATTTCAAAGGCAAAAATAATAAAAATTACATTTTATTGCAATTTTATTGGTCTCAGCATGCCAAAGYAAGAGCCTTGGTTTTCACTAATGTCACATATGCAGCAATACCAGCAAATGTCCATCACTTAAAAATCAAGTTACTATATGTTTTAAGGTTCCTCTTTTTTTTTTCTTCTTTTAAACATTGGCCACAAATCTGTACTACAATAAAAATGCCAAGTATTGCAATGCAGGCTATCGGGGCATTTCATACCTTTCTAAGTAATTTCTTTAAAATTATCAGTTCARTCCTGAGAAAACTGTAATACTGACTCTCCTTTCAAGCAATTAAGTGGTGGTTTAAGAAAAGGAAATGTATGCCATTTTATGAAATTCATTTTTGGAGAGCTAAACTTATCCAGCTGATTTTCACTGTTTGTGAGCACCCAACAGGTTGGTTTTTTAAAACAAAATTTTTAAAAGCATCACAAATTARTGAAAAGTAAACTCTAACTATGGCCCTACCATTTCACAAGTAACAGACAACTTTGCCTTAAGATTTTAATAAAACCTGGTCTTAATTAAACCTGGAATTAATGCTTATTTTTATATCACAGTAAATTATATGACCCATCTGTAAATATGCACTCTTTAAAGGCTTATTCTTTTTTTTTTTTGCTTGAGAACAGCTCAACTTGTATATAACTAATGAAGTTGAAGAATGTAACTTGATCAAAATAAAAATAACACTCCACCTCTTTTTCTAGTCATGTGTTTGATGGACAAAGGAGATTTAACTCTGTGAAGTAACATGACAGCTATGTTGCATAGATAGATCAAATAAGATATGAAACAAATGGTACAAATGGTGCAAAGTTACCAGAGTACTGGRTTTAATGAGAAGAATGCTACTTAAAGTAAACTGAATAAACAGTATTCATGATTTTATTTTCAGGCAACATGATCACTTAAACAGTTTTGCTGATCAAAGATAAAATGTTTCATACGGGATGAAAGAAAGTTACCTGGAATACAGTTAAAAGGGCTTGTGGAAAATTATCGAAGGTGCTCCGTTTTGTTTGAGTTTCATCAAAATTAAATTTGCCTCCAAACAGCTGCATTCCAAGCAACGAGAAGATTATGATGAAGAGGAAAAGCAGAAGCAACAGTGAAGCAATGGACTTCATTGAGTTTAACAAGGATGCTACCAAGTTGCTCAGGGATGCCCAGTGCCTATAAATTAAAATGCGTGTGTTAACACACACCAAAAAAACCTCAAACAAAACAGTAAAAGAGCAGTGCATGATGAAGTATTACAAAACAATTGCTGATCACTCTTCAGCTATCCTTAGAATTAGCAGTATTAGATAATCTTACCTTGTTACTTTAAAAATACGCAGGAGACGAACACAGCGAAACACTGAAATTCCAAGGGGTGACATAATTTCCAACTCCACCAAAATGGTTTCAACAATGCCACCACAAACAACGAAGCAATCAAAGCGGTTAAAGAGAGAAACAAAATAAGCCTGTAGGCCCAAGCTGTACATCTTTACTAACATTTCACAGGTGAATAAAGCCAGAAGAACTTTATTTGCGATATCTGGAACAAAATATTAAAGAAAAAAGATTCTGAATTGCCTCATAGATTCCATTGTTATTTTAACATATTAGTACTATACTTTCTATGTGAGTTTGCAACTTTTTGTTTAAAAAGGAATTAAAAAGTACTGCTTTATTTCTGTTGGACTGTAGTTGATGCTTAAGTGGCAAAAGTTACCCAGGGATGTAAAGCTTCCTGCCAGCTATAAACAATTCATCTTTCCAACCTGTTGTGCAGTTCCTCAGCTCACAGCCTGAGTCCACACTGTAACTTAAGCAACCAGCCCACAGCATGYTCTGCTGTGCCAGTTACCACTTCCTCCTCATCTTYCAAGCATGTTTTCATGATAAAAGCMCAGGTATTTACAATTTAGCATTGTCAGGCCTSTGCTGGTGTGTTACTAAGCTGGGTTACAGCTGTGGAAATCAAAGACCACATTCAGTCATTTCTTGTATCTCCCTTTGGCTGGGCTGAATATCCTTCAGACAGCAAACAACAAAATRGCAAAGTACAAAAGTGCCACTGATAGAACGCAAATATAGTCAAGACCAAGACAAATAATTTTTGACTGTACCTTGGATCTGGGTCAGCCAGTCAGGTTGATTGTAATGCTCTGATGAGATAGTTAACGTGTTCAAAAAGACCAAGACAATAACAAGCCAATAAAATGTGACAGATTTTACTGCAGCCCTACATTTTCTTCTGTTAAATCGGTTCCAGCGACGCCAGCGTCGACTGAAAGTTCAAATAAAAATAAATTTATTATTATATGGAAAACACATATGAACTTAAGGAGAGTTCCTTCTGTGTAGAAAACAGTGCAAATGTGTATGTGGGAGCAGGTGTATTTTCATAAATATGTGTATAATACTCCAATAGCTGTGTCAACTATTACCAATTGCAGATTAGGGACTCTTAGCATGTGATTACTTTTTTTGTATTTCCTTATAGATTTCTAAATGTAAACCACAACATTTGGATACTGCAATTGCCTGTGACATAATTAGATTAAGCTGCATTTAACATTTCATTGAGTAAAAAAATGTATCYACATTTCCAAGCCTCATTCACTTAATAGCAATAAAGAAAAGTCAGTGGATCAACTCAGAGTTCAAATTAAATTCAGTCTGAAATGTAGGCTTTGAGTTAAACCACAAAGAGAATTCTGGCAGGATCAAACAGAATAGAAATGTTGAGGTCACCTTTTAGAAATCTACCCCGTAACATCAGAAATCTTCCTCAGCAACTCCTGGAGATTTCTACTGAGGTGCCCTGAAATTGTGTCAGTGGGCAAATGTTTGTGAAATAAGTAAGAGTGACAGTAAAGGACAGATTGAGGATGTACCTAGATATGGATGGACTCACAAGTGAGTTTATATCTTTGGACTCATAAAACCAGATTTTTCTGCTTCAATTCTGGGAACTGTGCTCAAGGATTGAATTTTCTTCAGGCACGTTAAATATGTACTTGTAGTACTGGAAATTAATACTGGTTTCAGGTATAAGTACAAAGATGCTTCAAGCCTGTGCAATACTATAACCATATAAAGGAAAAATATCCTGTCCTGACCTAAATCAACGTGGTATTCAGTAACATTCTTATCTTGCCAATCCCCTACTAGAAGGGCTGTGTCCATGGCCATCAGCACAATGCCTCACACCCTGGCTGGGTTAAACTGACTTCTTTTTACACTTGCAGAACATCCTAGCATTGAAGTCCATGAACAAGAATAATAATRTTGAGGTATCTCTACTTGTAAGACTCACAAGCTGTCTCAAACTGTGTAATTCCAAGCTTTCTGAAACCATCTGGGCTAATTTTTCCCCAAAAAGATGTGTGGAGCAARTGACAATAAAGCATAGCTAAGTGGTACATATATGGATGTGTGTGGATCACACAGGCATATGTAAACAGCCTACAGAAATAAAAATTCAAAAAGCAGAATAGCAGTAAATTTCTCCATTAGAYTGATACAAGTAAAGGCATGCTCCCAAAGATTAACTTCTATTTTGACTTGCAGTGCAGCAGGTAGGCRAGCTTGCAGTGAAAAGCATTTTCTATTTTGATCCAAAGGCATTTTGACATTACGGTCAAAACAATATCCTTGATAAGTTATGGCCTGACTTACTTTGTGCTCAAACACAGAGTACTGACACTGCAGAGTAACATTCCAGAAGCTGGAGCAAGAATYAGCCCACAAGAGTGAGAACTGGACCAARATTTTGCATTTACCTTAAATTGTGRTTATAAGAGGAAAATACTGACCTGAATTTGGATTTTGAGATGGTTTGACTAGAAGAAAAGAAAAACAMATTTTTAAGAATAGGGGRAAAGTAATTAATAAATACATTTCCTTTAGTATTTTGCATTGGCATTACATATACATAAACCAGATTTTAACAAAATGCATCATGAATGMTGAAAATCTTTTGTCTGTTATTTATTTTCTGAAATACCTTTTCTAAAGCCTTACAAATTTTTCTTAGTGAAAGAAAGGAAATCTCCTTCAAAATTYAGTAAATAAGCCATGAATAAACATATAGAAGCTGCCCGGAATTCATGAAAATCTGAGCAAATAAATAATAAACACCATGGGTTATAGAAATACTTCCATACATTCAGGCATTGTCTAAAAATATATATATTCTCCAGGTCCTGCACAATTTAACATAAAATATTTCTTTTTACATGYCATTAGAAACTTCCATCCCTTTCTTATAATTTTGGACAAAAATTACATTTTATGAAAGGTTTCAGGAGTGACTACAAGTGACTACAAGTCACCTTGTAGTGCTATGGTGTAGTCAACATAGCAAGTGGAGTTGAATTGTCTCATATCTTCCCAACCTGAGAATTTTAGGAGCACTCTAATAATTGGTCTAATACCAAATTCCTGAAAGAGCCATACAAAGCGAGACTATTTCAAATTCAAAAAATTCCAAAGTGAGACTTAAACAATGGGGAAAGAGCGATGTTTAGAAATGCTGGGATGATGGGATGGGCACTCACCACAAGCTGCCGCAGCACGGAGGGCTCTCCCCTTCCCCGCTGACGTTCTCGGTGTTCACCGACTCGGTCTCGCTGGTGGGCATGCTCGCTGTGGGGACACAAAAACACCTCAGCCACATCACCAAGAAAGGCTCTGCACTGCCAGGATCTCCTGGCCCGTGCYAAGGATGGCTCCAGGTCTGCTGAGAGCTTGCAAGATCTGAGGAGTCGGAGATGAAGTCAGACTCTTCATCAGTCCTCCTCTCCCACCAAAAGAAAGCACACACAATTCCAGAGCCAATGGTGGTTTCTTTTTTTCTTTTTTCTTTTTTTTTTTTTYTGTTTCTTTCCATTTATTCAAGGTAATTGCTTACAATTCACTGCAGAAGACAAAGTAGGGGAGATTTGTAGAAAGAGTCAAAGAGTATGCTACCCTTGGTAAAGAAATTAACCTAAGCTGGATTCTCTGAGTTTTCATTTTGAGAAGTGCTCTGTTAACATTTATCAAAGTGCTGTTAACAGGTTTGCTGATTCCAATATCAAACTTCTCCTGAAAGTAAGAACTTTCACACCCTGGTCACACTGACCACTCTGTGCCTTTACTGACATTATACATTTTTAAGGCAAGATGCCAGAAAGTAAATGTGCTTGCAAATATTGTGTGAGCAGCAGGCAGGAGCATTGGGAATGGGAGAATGGTACTTCAAAGGACGATAAGAATTGCTTCTAATAAATAGGGGACAATTACATTTGCCACACAGAGTGTGAATTATTATACATATAGCAGATAATTACTGAGTGGTTAGCACTTGCAGCTAATGGTTTTTTAGGCAAAACTCATTTTCAGCTAGGTCATCACCATTTGTCTTAAAATCAACTGAAATATAGAGGGAGGACACCCTSTGCCAAAAAGTGTTAGGAAATGATGAACAGCCAAAGTTCTCATTGCTTCCTAGGGGAGAGCACTACGTCCATGTCTGCAAAGCAAGCATGAAAGRAACACCTCAGGAACAAGAAAAGGGTAAATTAATGTTGCTGGTCTATACCATGGAAATACCATATAAAGTAGGAAACGTAAGAGAGGTGGGAGATGCATTGAAATTACTGTARAACAGCAAGAACAAAAGAAAAACAGAGCATTCTAGAGGTACTCTGGTGTGTACCTTCCACTGTTCTGATTGTTTGGTTGGTCTATTTGGTTTGGTTTGTTGGGGAGGGTTTAAGTCAATGTCTGTGCACTGAGAGTGCTGAGGGCAGAAGGGCCACACTGCCAATTTCTGATAGGGAAATCTCACTATTTTGGTAGCCTAAAGGATGATATAAATGAGATTTAAGAAACAGGCCTTGAATTTTCTGGTTTGTCTACAACTCAGACACAAAGTGAGTGCTGTTAGAAAGTCTCTCTGCACAGCCTCTCAATTGCCTCAACACCATGGACACAGAGGGCAGTGGGAAGTGCTGGTTTGGTTTCYGTGCCCATCAATTCCATCCAGGAGGGGATGCCCATCAGTTCCATCCCAGGCCAGGTGCTCAGCTGCTGTTTGCAACAGCTGAGAATCTGCCCCCAAAAGCAAGTCACTGTTACATGAAATGTTAAACAGAGTGGCATAACAAAGAAAGATCMAAAATGTCCATGCAGGTGTTTGAATAAACAAAGCACTTCAGGCAGTAAGCACAGCAAAACTTCTTTCACAGGTTCTTCTGCTCTGATGATTCTTTTAAAACATTATTGTAATTGCTTTATATATTAAAAGTCTCTAGTTAGCACCTGCAAGTGCCTCAGTTTTAATATCATGCTTCCCTTTATAAATCAGTTTTAAGATAATGAATTTTGCTAGTCCTGTAAGAACTTCACAGCTTACAGTCAGMGTTCAAAAGGAACTTCATTCAAAATAAAAAATATTTGATATCCAAATTCAACTATTAAAATTTCAAACAGTTAAAGAAAAGAAAACATCACAAAACTATTTCAAATACAGTCTCAGGGCTTCAGAATTAAGAATTTTTATTTTCAAATGCCAGGGTCTTTTTGCAATAAATACAGGGGACTCCTGGTTGCCTTGTGCCAGGTGACTTGAATGCTGTTAGAAAATAAAGCTTTATAGTCACCCAAAAATGAACATTTCAGCACTTGTGATGGGCAACTACAAAATATGAGTGCAGAAGTCTGGTTTCACACACCATTAAAAGCTGCCAGGAAAACACAGCTAAGGCTACTTCTGCAATTATTGCTTACATGCAACATGTCTCACACTTGTATTTCAAATTTATCAACCCTTCCTTCCCCTGAAAAAAAACCAGTACCTAGAATCTAGTCCTTCATAAAGTGTCACTCAGTTTCAGAAAACCTGTATTTAATATAGGTAATGTAAATATAAAGGACTGTAATTTTAACTCAAGTCTACCCCAACTTGATGTGTTAGGCCACAGTAAGAAATACCAGCCCCTTTGAACAGAATAATGTGAAGAAAAACAAAGTACAAATTAAAATATCTTTGGCTCTATTGAAGTGAAGTCAGTTCTGTCTATTATTAAATACATCAGAATGTCACTGTGCTTCAGACACCAAGGGGCTGTTTCTCCATCTCCATTAGTGACTTGCAGGTGCTGTRTTACAAACGAGGAAAAAAGAACCACAGTTCAGCTCACATTAGAAACTCAGCTGTCATCAAACTGTAATTTATTTGTCAAAATTAAAACTTGACAGAAGTACTGAGAAAGGCACCGTGTGGAAGTCCAGCTCCAGCAATGCCAGCAAGTCATCAGGTCTTTAGCCAGAGGAAAAGAGCAGCACTGCATGTCCACATCCACTCTGCTAATGCAAGCAACCTGCCAGCTCTGAAAAATACTCAATTCCATGGCCACAGCTGCACAAGGGCACGTGGTGTCCATGAGGCAAACACAAGGAACTTCTGAAAGGCTGATCTCAGCATGGTCAGCTCTGAGATCTGTAAACTGGCACCCCAGTACGCAAACAAAGGCACCAAATTTTCTCTTTTCTTCATTCACCTTTTGCYCTTATTTTACTGGTATTCTTCTGGAAGGATTATCTGGATTTCTAGATCTAATAATCTTTTCAATTAAGGTAAATGGTTCCAAACAAAAGAATGCTTGCATTAGACAATATAAGCAACCCATACAGCATGCAGCTTAATACTTCCCTGAGTGTACAGAAAATAGGTCAAATACATCAACTACTACATTTTGTTTCTGTGAATAAGAATAGAACATCAGAAAAACAATCYATTGTCTTCACTATTTAATCTATGGAGTTTTCAGACTTTGGAGCAGGGATTTCAAACTCCACTTTGGGACACAACATAACTAATGCACAGTGAGGAACAAACCACTATCAGCACTGATGCATCCTGGCCAGCTGGAGTTAGAAACTCCAAAATCCTGAAATATGACAATCCATCGTCACAGTAGAATCCAAAAGCAGCCTAAATTKCAACCTGAACTCCTGAATTGTGGTGTTGAGTAGTACTGTTAGAAATGTTTTCCTCTAGAATGGATATGACTAAAATTTTAACCTGTTTCAGCTTCAACTGTGCCTTTTCTATCCACAGGCTGATGTAATTTTCACACTGGTGCAYGTTGGGCAGCCTTCTGGTTACATGTGCTGAAGGGAAAGTGCTGCAGAAGTTGAGAGATCAGCACTTCTCATCAGTATTGGCTACTGTGGAGAATCTTGTTATTATTTTATATTGCCAAAATTTTAGATCAGCCTTACAAAAATGTCATCTTCCRTTTGCTAGTAACAGCCAGCCAATTCCTTGAACTCCAAAATTTTCCTAATTGTTTCTCAAATTAGTACATGAATTTTCTGAATCCTTTATACCAAATCTTTGAGGTMGTCAAACAGGAAAACAGAGTAACAGAGTAAAAAAAAAAAATCCCCAAAGTGGCAACATTATCATTGCAAATTCATCTCGAATTTTCCTAAGTCTGCTGTATGCCCAGAAAACACTTCAGGAGGATGTGGCACTATCTATTCTGACTGTGAAGCTCCTCGGGGTGAATTCAGTTTAAGAGGAGTCTGCTTGCAAGATTTCTACATGATAATGCAGCAAGATATCTTTTTTCATAGTGCAGATTTAATGTTGTTATAGATCATTCTTATGGGCTCTCTCTTTTTATAGGCAGCCCACGGAAAAGCAATATAAGGTTGGCTGCAAAGCAGTGGAAGGAGAGCAAAATAATCAGGGTTTGTTACAGTAGAATCACTGAAACAACCACTTGCAGCCTGAAGGATAACACTTGGGAATGCTGCATATTCTACAGACACTTTGCTTTTAATGGAAACACAGGTAGAGCTAACACAAAGAAAAATATTTAGTGTGGTATTTGTAATCCAGAGACAGCCTAAGCTTGAACTCCTCAGATCAGCCTGATCACTTCATGAACTCAGAAATTAATAAACTTAGGCCTTTAATTAGTACTTTGGAAGAATCCTACTTACAAAAGGGTGGAAGAACCCAAGTCAGGGCCCACGAATTTGGGGTGCCTTTGCGTTGCAGGGTCAGGCACCAGCAGTGAAACAGCAGCCACAGCCAGCAGGTGACAGCAGGTGACAGAAGGTGACAGCAGTTTTCAGCCAGTCACAGCCTCCTGACAGACATCAGAACCTGAACCTGCTCATTTAAGTACATGGCTCAAAGTAAAATTGCAGCTGTCACCTCACAGTTTTTACAGAAAAGCTGTTTCAGCCTGTGAAGCTGTGTGAGCTCAGACAATGGATACAACAGCTGTACAAGGAATTTCAAACAGACTCAGTGTTTGGACAAGATGAGTCCATCAGGTCCTTGCAATTTCTGACTTAGAATTCTCCACTCTCTAAAGGAACTCTAAAGAAAGCAGTTTCCAGCCTCACTCTGGGCCACAACAGTGATTTTTAGGACAGGAAGAAGGTCAGTYGCTCAAATAATTTGGCTGCAGATAGGATTAAAACTAGATCTCCTAACTACTGCAACTGCGCTTATGTCAAAACAATGAGTTTGCTAGTATTAAAAGAGGGCAGATTTGAAAATAACTATTGTACTCTAAACCTCCTGTCTGTGTCCAGTGTGTGGGGGGAAAAAATTGAATAAAACACTTTACAGAAACAAAACTATCAATAACAAGAGGAGATACAGTAAAAGCTTGTTTTGCTTTGTTAGATTCTACATCACAAGAATCAAAAACAAATAGTAAATATTATCATCATGCTGTCTAAGCTTACACTATGATCCATTATAAAGCTTGTAAAACACTTGTATTAAGTTATTTACACCTAAACTTGAAATAGAGTTTTGATCTGGTTTACCTGGCTTCTGAAAAAGAACAGCCACAGCCAAAGACACTTCAGTGGAATTCTGAATGGATTGAACACTCTGCTTTAGGGATGTAGAGCAGCAGCTCTRTTTCAAACATGCACTTCAACCAGCAGGAAGGTCTGCATGCACSAGGGGTTCCATGCTCCAGAGGCTGMTGCCTCGCTCAGAGAAATGCAAACAGTCTGTGCCCCCGAAAGCTACCACATCCAATGCAGTATTGGCACGAAAGGAAGTTCAACTGCAAATCCGAACACATTTTACCATGTTTTTTGGAAGAACGGCCAAAGCAGCTAAGTCTGCTTTTCTTCTTGTCTTCCATTAAGTCAGCCAGTGTAAGCCCTGGGGAGCACATGTAATCCCAGCAGTGACGCGGGAGGTGGCAGCAGTCGCAACGCAAAAAACAAAAACGTGTCCGTACACACAACACAGGCAAGGTTAGGCAAAACAAACGGATCTGATCACAGCTAAACCCCTCACCTCTCACGGATCCTCGCGTTTTGAGCTAAATTCGCAGTGCTTTGAAGACAATGGAAGTTTTTTTTCATTGACTTCAGAATAACCAGCTATTGGCTCATAATAAAGACTTCCAACTTTCACTAAAGGCATATTTACAACTCTATGGTATTTATTCTACAATTAAAAGGTRTTCAGTTATTCACCAGCATTGAATGCCTGCCCATTATCAGCAACAGAGATGTACAAATACATGGGATATTCATAAATAAACTACTTAATGGCTTCTCTGATCAGAAATTTTTAAACGCTGGGGGGGAGGGGGAGGCATTGCAGGAACCTTAACTACAATTTTAAAGATTATTTGAGAAACTATTAATCACTGAATTTACTGCCTTTGAAATCTGTACCTTTTCCTGCCACAGAGATCTTCAGTATCCTAAATCCAGAGCTCTTCTACATTGGTGAAGAGCATCATGGTGATCTTCCATCACCATAAATCAGCAGGAATCTTGRTCACCCAGAGGTTTAGATATTCAAATCAGGAACATAGTTGCCTAGAAGCCTGAAAATTATTATTCTGACTGTCTTGGGACCCAGCTCTACCTCACACTCACAAGATGGCTCAAGAAAAACATCGGCAGTATATTTCAATTAAATTTGTTTCCTAATAATATCTTGAATTCAAGGAGGTGGAGCAACTCAGCAACCCTTCCTCCTTTACAGGCTGTTGCAGCCAATATTAAAACTTAAATACCAAGCCATATATTTAGGCACATGTGCATAAATGCAGGAGCACTAGGAGACTCTTTATTCGTTAGAAATTCCCACTCAAAACATATATGTCTGCCTSAAATTAAATTCTTGACACCTCTCTTAAAGTTCTTTTAATTATTTTTCTTCTACTTTCATTCTGCAAGTCTTCTACAACCTTTAACTCACCCTAAAATTCTGCTTAAGTTAACAGTTTAGATTTAAAAGCTCTTTCAAACCCAGTAACGATGCAAAGTGTTTTTTATTTGTATGGCCTGGAAGCTGTTTAATGAGTACCAGAGCAAATGAGGTTTTTTGCAGCCAATTAACCAACATCCAATTTGAACAGGATACAAAAGGKTCCTGGGATTTCACCTGTAAACCAAGTCCATTGGCACCACAGCTGAYGACACATGCAGYACCCTATGCAAATTCAGCATCACCAAGAATTCTGCACAGCAGCCTTGTACAAAGTGTATTTACTCCATAAAATGGGCCATATTTTACATCTCAGGTTAAGGATTTTACACTTGTATTCAAAGCCACAGTTTATGTACTCCTACCACACATTAGTAGCAATACCAAATCTCTGTCTTTTTTACTCTCTTCTAGATAAAAATTCTATTTATGCAACACATTTTCCTACAGAGATAAATTATTCCTTTCCAAGTGATGCTGGCATCAATATCGACCCCCAGGTTGCCTTCCAGCCTCTCATAAAATCAGTGCTCCACCAGTCTGCAACACAGGTCCACACTCCCATGCTCTGCTCTTATTGTGAGCTAAAGGATTAATAAAATCATGAAACTTAAAGATTTTGAAAAACTGCTATTATCTCTGCAAGACAGATGTAAGTTTAAAAACAGATACCTCAATATCAAACCACATAATTTTTGTCACTTACTGCACCTGAAAAGTAATATGACTTACAAGAACAGTTCACAATGAATTACCAGCACTAGAAGTAAAGCAATGGTAATAATCTATTATTTCAATACAGAAAATAATATTCTGAGTTATCTTTGACAAACCATTTGTCCTTATAAATACTTGATGGTATCTAAATGAACAAACACCATGATTTTCCAGAGCATAACATTAATAATAAGGAACTATGTAGCATTAGAATATATGGTAAAACTTGAATTTTAATCTTAGACTTAATATGAAATGAGCAACCATGTCCTGAAACTGAGGTCTCATTTACGTGCAGCTCTAAAAGTTCTCATGAAGATTTTAACTRCTACTATGCAAACATGACAGAGGCTAAAATAACCTCTGCTAAATTATGGCATTAAAATACTGCTGTTACTAGAACTTTTGTGATATATGGAAATTAATTATAACTTTTAAAGTTGTTATAGTATCATGAAATTAACTTGTTCCTTTACCTTAGGACTCAGGTTAGAAGCAAAAGCATTACAGCATAAACTACCAGTCTAGAATACTCTACTGTCAAATAAATACATCATAAGGATATTTCTTAGTGTCAAGTGAAAATCCCAAAAGATTTCATCTATTGCACACCCACTTAAGACAAGCAGTAAAAAATATTTKATATTCTTTTCTGAATATCAAAAAGAAAGACCTAGAATGTCATTTTCCTACTTCAACAATAACAAAAAATCCTCAGTATCAGCACAAGGTTACTTCTTGCCTGTAGCTTTGGCCATAATTTTAAGCTCTTTATATCATCATTAATTCCCTTGCATGCACCTACAGGAAAACACATCCTAAGGATTTAYGATGACACTCAGTGGCACGTGGCTTCTCTGCACTAACTTTTTCCAGAACACAAATAAAACAAAGCTTGTATGCCTCAGTAATGACTGAATGCAGACAGTGATTTATACGTGAACACCCCAAGCAGAGTTTTCCTGCAAGATTCTGAATTATCTCCCGTGGTTCAGCATCAGCACATTAAAACAATTGCTCTGCTAAACCAACATTTCTGCAAACTGGGACAGCACTGGGCAGGCAGCATTCAGGGCAAAGTAACACCCCAAAAGGAGTCAAACTGCCCCCACAGAAGAAGAGAAGAAGGAATACGTACTGTTCCTTTTGCCTTCTTCATCAGCCTCTTCATCATTCTCAGGGTCAATGTCTTCTGCCTGGGTAATCCAGTCCAAATACCCCTTCAGATCTTCTTCAAGCTGCTGTTTTTCACGTAACTTCTGAAAGTCTCCTCGGGCCTTGGCTTTTTCYCTTTCTTTAGAAAACTCTCTATCAAATGCAGATAAAGGAGAAAAAAAAAACATTGATTGACAAAGTCCCTGGCATTTTGATACAGGTCTTGACACTGCAGATTAACACAGCAATAAAGAAACTGCACTGAAGATTTGAGCGCTGCTTTGAAAACAAGGTAGAGGTGCAAAGAAGTCATGGCAAATCCCTACCACGTTACCTCTCAACTTTCAGAGCTTTTATGATTTAATCAAAAATTAAGCAGTATTTTTGACACTTCCTATAGAAGAGTCTGTTCTCCCCCTTTATTTACCTGCTCTTCTATACAGATTTAAAATTGCTTTTATCCACAAATAAAAATTAACTTGCAATAATAAAGTCATTTCACAGTTAATTATTAGCTTCAATGAAAATKAAATTCTGGCAGCTAATTCTAAAATCCTTCCTCTCCCAGCCACAGCTCACGGGCCATGTCCAATCATAGAGCATTCCAGAATTCCACTACTGGCTCTCCCTGAACTGTACCACCCACAGAGATGTGTTCTTGGAAATCTGGGTGTTTTGCCCTTTTGCTCCCTGTAACAGAACCTAGAAGTCCTGTTCTCACAGACCAGAACAGAACATTTGATATAAACTCAATCCTCYATCTCATTGTTCCACTCTCAAAACAAAGTACTGGACTGTCTGTCCAGTTGAGGTCATGATKGGGATCAATCCCTGAACTATCATGGAATTATAATAAAAATAATGAAATCATGTTATTTGACATGGAAATTGGATAAAATGGCTTCCTAAGGTCTTTTTGAACCTGAGTTTCTCCAGAAATCTCTGATTCCCTGAATGACATGTGACTCAAGACAATTAGTAACTATATTCTCCCACCACAACATCTAATATGCCAACATTGTAACAACTTTTGGTGTGATCCACAGCTCCAAATGTGTAAACCCATTTGCTAGAAGGATCAAACACATTCCAATTTATTTGACTATCAATACATAGATTTAGGGGCAGACAAGTATCTTTTGGACTGTATTCTAAGTACGTACATCTCAGTATTTAAAGTCAAGCTTGTTCTGACTAACATTTTAATCATTGAAGGGTTTGGGTCGGGAGGGACCTCAAAGCTCATCCCATTCCATGTTCCTGCCATGGCCAGGGACACCTTCCACCATCCCAGATTGCTCCAAGCCCCATCCAACCTGGCCCTGGACACTTCCAGGGATGGGGAAGCCACAGCTCCTCTGGGCAACCTTTGCAGTGTCCCACCACCCTCACAGGGAATAATTTCTTCCTGGTATCTAATCTGAACTCCCTTCATTCAGTTTTAAGCTGTTTACCCCTTGTCCTATTGCTACTCACATTAATCTTACAATAGGGCTTAAATTAAAAGCAATTTCATTTACTATGAATTTTCAACTCCTTTATGCATTGGAAAATTTCACTTGAAAATATTATCCAATTAATATGCTCTTAAGGGGAGATTTATTAAAGCACTCAATAATATCCTTTCTCAAATGGAAAATATTAGAAAATTAGCATAAGACAGAAAAATATTCTAAAGTGGAACAATTGCCAATAAAAACRTTGCCCTAAGAAAACAGAGCAGAATAACACAAAGTCTCAGTTTTTCAATATAGCATTTCAGTTTGGTGACATACTTTATTTATTTGGAATTGCAAAGACATAATCTCTCCAAGAGGTTTCTTATTCATTTTTATTGGCTTTTTTTGTCTTTAAACATGTCAGAACAAAAAATTAGTGTTTGGAGGACATCAGTAAATTTAAGTGTTAAGCTGTTTCCATKCAGATGCTGCAGGTTTTTTTAATTTTGTGTTACAGAAGCCACACAGCTTTCTGTTGCAAAAGCTGAAAGGCAGGCACTACATCCTTTACAGCTGAGGACTTAATTCAACAGCAGTTCAGTTTGGCACATGGGGATCGTCTGTTCCATCTGATGGCACTGTAATGAAGCTGARAAATGCCAGTGCTTGCTTTGCATTTGCTCCCCTTCACCTGCCACCCAAGGGCGAGGATCTGTGAGAGGCCAGCTCGTCACAAAACAGCCCATGAAAGAGAGAGCTCCAAAGATCTCTCTGAGAGATAATCACCCTTTAAAAAATAGACTCATTTCACAAGTCAGTAAGAAACTGTTTGGGTTATGGAATGCTGGGTTTAAGCTTCTCTCAGAGAGGATTAGAGACTGTCCTTTACACCTGATTGAGGCAACGTACTCGTGACTCACTTCCTACAGGCAGTGTCTTTGGGAAAAGAGCTATCATGGCATGGTAGGAAATGAGAAATAACAAGCCTTGATGGCTTTTACTAAGTATTCATGTCTTTTTATTAAAGTCCTTCAGGTATTTTTCATTAATTCAAAGGACATGTGACGTGTAAGGGTAAAGTAAAACAAAAGCTGTTGTTATTATATAGAGTGAAGTCAATTAAATATTTTTTTAATTAATCAGCTGGCAAGGCTGATACTTTGAACAGSACTTCACCCATGGCTGAACCACTCTTTAACTCTGACTTCACATTAAAACAGCTGCCTGCAGAGAATTAAACCTAGTTTTTTATGCACACTGCTAATTCTGACCTTTCCGTTTAATACTGCACTGAAGTCAGACGCTGCCTTGTTGTAGGCTGCTGCAGTTTATCAGCAGGGGGAGATGCAAGGGTGCTTATTTCCACAATAGTTAAAAAAAATATTTTTAAAACTTGACTTTACAGAACTATAACACATGAGAAGACAATTTTCTTCAGTGGAGGGAGGAATCTGACTCTATGGCTTTTTTTCTGTCACAGCCACAGTGAAGGGATGCCCCTTAGACACAAACATACATACTCCTTTAAGTGAAATACCATGAATAAGAAAGGAGAATTTAATAGAATTGGAAAGTAATGAGCTTCCTGTTGGCTAAACAAAAGCTTTTCCTTTTTTTTCTTGGCCAAGAAATAAGTTTTTTTGAATAAGTTAATGAAAATGAGAAGAGAGAGAGAGATGTTGACTCTTTAAAGCTTCTGACAAAGATATTTAGATAAAAAAAGATATTTGAATATTTAAATACAGAGACATTGACTGATTGGAAGGAGGGCTACAAAACCTGCCTGTGCAGCATTTCATGGCTGTGGAGTGGGCAGGGTGGGTCCAGGGCAGAAAGGAAGAGCTTTGGGCTATGTAGGCAGGACAGGGAGTGACGTGGCCAGACTGGTGGCCTGAACTGGCCTCCCTGCCATCAACCCAGCAGCCACTGAAGCTGACAGGCTCAGGAAACTGCACACTAATTGAAGTAAGTGGACTAAAGCTCTGTAAATATTTGGATTCACAATGCCTGTGCTAAGAGCTAACTTTRAAATACGTGTTTCTTTCTGGTTTTATAAAATGACCTGGATGTGACATCTGAAAGCATTCTGGGCAGGGGGGCTGCATCTGCAGGACAATAGAGATATCACTGACAAAATAAGGCATTTAATTGAGACTAATTTATATAATCTCATGTACTTTTAGGGATAAATAACCTATTGTATAAAATGGTGGGTTTATTTCTGTTGCCCAAAAATTCCTTGTCTCCTAGCAGAAAGATGATCTCATTTCTCTGTTCAGGCAAACACCATCATCATCAATGGTTGTTGAGGCAGAAGCATATAAAATGCAGGGCTTGAATTCATGCTTCAATAGTCTGGGGTAATCATGCCACATTTTTCTTTCTTCAGCAGAGTGAAATAACTCCTGCTGGTAAGCATCAGTTGGGAATGGCTTGATGCAACAAGGTGGAAGTGACAGCAGGGATCACTTGCTGGGATTCAATTACATCTCCCTGGTTCTCACACCTTAAATGACAGGCAGGGTCACAGTAACCAAAAGCCCCAATACAATTTGTGGAAATGCTTGTGGTACCCTCTCCCTTCTCTGTGTATGTTCACAGATACAATAACTGSAGACACCTGCAGCAGCCTCCTCCCAGCAGAAAGCTTTCCCCTGCTAAAGGCCAGATTCATTTCATAAGGGAGCCTGTGCAGCACCASGAGCGATGCTGAAACTCCTGTGCATCTCTAGGCAGTGATGACATGGAACAAATGGGTACTTTTGATGCCTGAGCATAAACCAGGACACAAATCCTTTGTTAGCCGTATTCCTGCCCTTTTGAGTCCCTGCAAATGCAGTGGGAGGGAGAATGAATCTCCTGCAGAACAAGGTCTGCTGTGTGGAAAGTGTTAAGCTAATTCTATATGTGGAACTGCCACCCAGACATCCCAGACTCTCATTTATGCACAGAGAACAGCCACATAACAACAAAAATGTACTCACAGGAGTACAGTGTTGGCCACCAGCCTTGCAGGAGAGGTTTCACACAGTGGTAACCATACCAACCAACAAATTAGCAGAATCAAGTGAGAAAACTAAAACTACTTCAAGTGTATGGCTAAGCGTGGACAGCAGCTCACAGCTGGGTGTAAAGTGTAGCAGATGTGGAGAGACATAAAAAAGGTTGAGGAACATCACATCCTTAATTACAGGAGATTTGTATACATCACTGTCAGCCCTACTTTTAGGGGAAGGAAAAAATCACAGGCTGAACACTACAACAATTTCGGTAGGATAAAACAAACATTCCAGCAGGAATTCTCCTTGAGCAAGGAGTSTTGGGCTCTAGGTGGGGAAATGCAAGCTGGTATTACCAGTTCATTAGCAATTAACAAAATGTGCATTTGACAGCTCCAGCTCTGTGGAGCAAAGGGCCTGTACAGCCTTATTGAGCCAGAGTGCACAGGAATGCTATGGGGTCATCAGTGGGAACAGCCAGATGGGGAACCATTWGACAGAGCAAAAAAAGTGAGATCTGATGTTTCAGACCATTATCAGATCAGCATATTAAGATGTACCCCTTCTGTCCCGGGTCAAGACCCATTTGGCTCAGGACACACTGGATTTCTTGGAAGAAGAAGGGGCAGTTCTGAGCAAGGACCAAACCCTGCCATCACCTAAACCATCAGGACACACTCTCTCAACAGTTTCTGAAACTGCCATGGTTTGTTCCCTGCCAGGGGCTCACCAGCAAGAACCTCAAGCATTAATCCCTTAGAAACCTTGCCAAGAAACCTCAGTGTGGGTAAATTCAGACAGAACTGAAATAAAATCAGGTCCCTCCAAGTTGTTATTCAAGAGTAGAGAACCATGCCCACTGAATTCAGTGGTTTCTGTCTAAAACAGTCAGTTACTGCTGCATACAGCTGAAAGCATTTGCTGATTAATTGTTGTCAGTATGTTCAACTGATCAATCCAGGATAACATTTCCTTGTTTTGTATCTATTTGTYTGTGAGCTTTACTTTCACCAGGACACAGAAATTAAAAGAGCTTCAGCTCATAACTTCCTGAGATCTACAGCTGGAGTTCTTCTTCCATGATTTCAGTGTATATTTGGTTCATCTACAGGAAGGAGTTAAATTTTCAGCAATAATTTTTATTTTTTATTTTTCACTAGGCCTTCCTGCTGCTGTGAAAATGAACACTGTCAAAAGCAGTTCATTTTCCTTTTGCAGAAAGGCTATGGGTGACAGTTTGCTGCCRTTTTCTATTTGGTGCATCATTATTCAAACACCATTCTCTACAATTTTTTCCATATATACTGTAGAAAACAGTTCTTAGGTGTAKGAGCTTATCTGCACCAACATATTTYATATGACATTAATTGACAGATATTGCTGTGAGATTAGGGTGGATGAGCACACACCCTTAGCTTTTAAAATCATTATGTTCATACATTGCAAATATTACTGGGGGAAAGAAACTGAAAAAATTAACATTCACTTAGTAACCTGCAAGATCACATGTAGGAAGATGTAAGGACATGTCAAAGCTTRTGTTTTGGTGTCCTTTTGCAAGGCAATAAATTCAATTTATGGATTTATTAAAGTGTGTTTGAAAGGTTTTATTTGTTCCCATGGCTACCCAAAGAAACACCAGTGCCTTGAGCAGAAAATGCTGTCAGCAGAACCCATCCCCTAATGATAAGGACTATCTTCAGGAATAGATTATCATGCATCATTAAAAGCCATGCCTCTTGATAAATAAGTTATGAAGCTTTATAATTTATTATTTCCTCTGTTCTTAGCAAACCAGTTTAATACATGCTGAATTACTGACACATCTATTTTAACTTTTTTTTTTTTTTTTTAAAGTTTAACACTTTCAGGATGGATGAGCATCCCTATCCTGATCTTCACTTATTAACTTCCAAATAACCTTTACCTTATAATTTCTAACTTAACTTTCCATTTCAGTTCACTCTCTTGCTCCAATAGCTATGATGTGCTCGGGTTTTTACACTGAAATATTTGGAGGAGGTCTGTCCTGAGCTCCCAATTTCTGTGTCTAATATTCCATCCCTTCAGAAAATTCACTTTTAGAMCAACATGAATACTTCTGGCATCCARTACAGAGTAAAAATTAGAGTATTTTGGAAAAACTGAATTAACTCAAGCCTATGAATTCTCCCCATCCTTGTTATTCATTAGAATACTTGGGAAAAAATCACCACAGCCAGCTTCCATGCAGMAATTACAATATTTACCACATGCAGATTCCATACACACATTGTTTCTATTCATTTACACCACTGATATTAAAAATATGAACTCTACTTTTAAGAMTGTCACCTACTGCAGGCAAGACTGACATGGATCACTGGGAAATACTCACCTTCAGAAAAGAGCTAGATGKGAAACAAAAGATCTGCCAAATCATCATTCTCATCCATTTTACAGTATCTAAAGACAYCAAACATGCAGTGCACAAGAGGCATTACAGAAACACAAAGGGGCAGATGGTCACACAGTAACAAAGGAGTGCAAAGAGAATAACTGAATATTTTAAAACCACAAACAGATCAAAACAGCAAACAGATTTCAATGTACACAGCATAGCCTGAGCTACAGGAAGTATCACTTTCATACAGGAAAGGTATTAGGCATTCAGATTCCRCCTTCAAAATCTGTATGCAAAGCCATGCTTTTCAATAAGTTGCCATAATTTTTGCATTCTTGACATTTGATTGGTTTAGCAAAATYTATCTGTAGATTTATCATAAACTAAGCTTCATGTTATGGTTTGMAGAGTATAAAACATAAAAGCTAATAACTTTTAAACAAAAACAAAAGAATTTATGTGCTACATATTCAATGCTAGGCTCAGAATGAAAAATATCTTTTGACTAAGAAACAAAAATATCCATTGGATTTTACTAGTACATCAATTTTATCCACTAGTACACCAATTTTTATCCAAAATTTAGACTAGACTAGTAGGTCTAAACAGAAAGTATGGGGAAAATCATTCATATGAAACTGTCATATGCTGATCACAAAAAAACAGAGCAACAGTATTTCACCCAGGCCCTTGTTTGTCAGAGTTTCAAACAAGTATTCCAGGACATTCTCTTCACTTCTGCACCAAACTCAGTTTGCTATAATAGGTATCTTTTAGGAGCATTCCCTTTGACTTTCTCTTTCCACTTTCAATGTCAGTCCTTGGTGATATTTATAAATCACTTGTTTCAATACTCTAGTGTCATTTTCTTTAGAAAGAAAACAAAAATGGGAGTTTTAGGAAGGCTCTTTCATGTATTTAGGGCAAACATGGATTCAGACAATTCATCAAGCACCCTGAGCACTCAATTGACCCTGGCTGACACTMTGGCAGAAAAATAAATTTACCAATTAATGGCTAAATGAATTSAAGGAAATTTCACATCCCATTTGTCACTGCCATTTCTGTGCACAGGAAATCCAAGGGAAGCCAGTGAGGGCTGTGAGGAGCATTAGAGCTCTGTGGGTCACACAACAACTGCAAATTGGTGGAGATTTCTTGTCTGCAGAAAGGAACCCAAGGRCAAGGGGACAGTTCCTCCCTAAATTCAAATGGCACCTAAAAAACTACTCCCTGTTGCAACAAATATATGTGTCTAATGTTGCAAACCTCACATAGCATTTTAAATGTATTAAATCAAATGCTAAGCTGATTCATGGGGGGTATCTCAATTTCCATGACTTCAGGAAAAGAAATTAACATGTGCAACAAAACACCAAATTTGGCATCACTTTCCCTACAATATTTTTTAAGAACAGGAAAATCTAAAACCAATAACAATTTGAGTCATGGGAGGAGAAATAGGAAAATTCATTATCTGTTACCAGACACCTTCACAGGACAGGAAGAAAACTAATTGGTTTTTACAGCATTCTTAAGGGCCAGAGAAGGAACTGTGAGAGCCTAATCCTCTAATGACTGCAGGGGAAAGTCCAGTCGCACAGCAACATTAGGTAACAGCATCAAAAGAAAAAATAAATTACTCTGGAACTACCCTCATTTATCTATCCTTCTCTTTCTTATTTCATTTTCCAGCCTGGCTGAAGGCTAGGCCCTTGTTTTGCAAAAATTTACACATTTGTCTTTACAGGATAGGTCTTGGAAGGAAGAGATTAAATCTAAACATCAGCAGTGTGGTTTTAGCACTGATATTTTGGTTATAAACATCTGCTTTGTAGAGCAAGTCTGAAGTGAGGTAGAACTGTGCTTTCCCCAGTTCCCCGTGTGCAACAGTAACCCATCATGGATAAATAACCAAAGATTTAAAAAAGCACATTGTAAAAATCACTCAGCAGATAAAAATGCCCTTGTAACACAGTTACATCAACACCTGGAAATTTTGTTTGCTTATCTGACTTCCAGGAATATAATAATGCATTATCATCTCTTTCAGATACAATGGATACAGTGTGGCAAAACCACAAATAGGGCTGCACACACTATCAGCATCCTGAGGACACCATCAACTGCAGCTTTCCATGCAGAAATGTTTCTGTTGGCTGACAAAGAAGGCACAACTGGCCTGAAACTGCCAGAACAATATCGTTTGCTGTATAACTAAAAACTAATACATACAATCATAATAATTTTCTTTCCAGCATTCAAATGCTAGCTGGATCTTTTATTTATTCATCAAAAAATATATTTGCCATAAACTGGAGTTTCCCAAGCTCAAGTGTGTTAGAAACCAGGAAATGGCAAAGGAAATAGGGTTATAACCTGAAGGGGTTCTTCTTGTGAAAACTGGGTAAACTCTTGCCATAAACTACAGTTTTAAAGCACATTATACACATCTAGAACTGACATGACTTTAGTTCTTGGCTGGAGCCTGGAGTGMATAAACCAACAAAAAGCTGTGACAACTATATTAAATTGACAATTATTGATGAATACATCAGTTCCTGGTGCAGGTTGTCACAGCATTTCACAGCTCTCCAGGAATTCTGTGCCAGRGCAGCACAGCCACACTTTGTGAGGCAGACTTTGAAGCACTTACTAAAAATATTTTTCAATATTTTGAGCAAAATATGTGACTGGTAAACATAAATAAGACTCCAATTACTCTGACTATTCAAAGAAARGCAAAAGTTGGTCTTTCAGAAAAAGACACTTGTACATAACAACAGGGGAGAATATTTGTACAGGCACACCACCCATCTCTGTGCACAAAATCTTTTTTCCCTGCAGGAATATTATAGAATAAGGAGATTAGTGGYTCATTTAATGAGTACTTTTAGCAAGCATGGTGAACGTGATGTCAAGACAGATACAGGCACTCAAATCACACAGTTCAGTCCAAAGAGCAAACACTGGCAGGATGACATTAGAATCTCAAGTGCATGCAAAAAAGCCATTGCTGAGCAGCTGGAGTAAATGCAGAGGCCATCTTACAAGTAGCAGTAGCATACACAATGTTAACTCAACTGCTTACCCACTAAGTACACCAAGAACCAGGTTAAGTACGAAAAATGAGCCAAGGATGATAAGACTAACAAAATAGATCCATGGCCACTCACATCCTATTGCATCATTTACCTGTAAAACGCAAGGAAATAAGTTATGGTTCAGCCATTCATTAAACAGCAGAGTCCTTTTTGCAGCTGCCAGATCACGTAGGTGCGACACAAAGTTTGTGGCCTATCTTAGAAAAAATGAATGAACAGTTGTTTAAATTTACTTACCCAGATTTTGTTGTAGATGTGATGCTTTAGAGGATTTATTRAAATGACTTCTAAGTCCTTGAGAATTGTTAGTCTTGTTTTTATAATTTTGCCAAAAGGACATGAAGAGTATGTACTGATATGTCTAAACTCCAATTTTGRTGTTTGTATGTTATTTATATGAGAGTTACGAGAAAACTTTTTGTATTCTAATTAGAGAAGGAAGCAGTAGAGGTTTATTAAAAGATGTCATCCCAACTGAAGTCTCACCTGTATGAGATAACCTGTGTGTTCATGGCAACTGAATTCAGGACTCTGCCTTCATGATGAAAAAGGTGTATGCTTACCCGCTCAATACACCAAGAACAAGATTTAGTACGAAAAATGACCCAAAGATGACGAGACTGACAAAATACACCCATGGCAATTCAAATCCCATTGCATCATTCATCTGCAAGAAATAAGATGATCTTATAGAGCAGATCACTATAATAACAGCAATGAAGAGTCAGAGAAAGGAGAATTTGATCATTCAGGTTAGATAACATTCTATGCATTCCTTCAGTAATCAAAGAACAATGAGAGCAAGAAGGCACTGGCCACATTCACTTTGCTTTTCTAACACACACCCTAAAACAAAATGCTGAGTGAACTTAGCATTTGGATCAGAAATATTATCAAACATAAATGGAGCACTGCAACAGCTTTGCTCTTTAACAGTAAGAACATGAATTAAAATTCAGATCTCCAATGAGGATGATGATCAGAAAATATAATGAAATATTAGGATTTTTAGTTCACATGTATCCTATCTACATGAATGATCATTTTATTTGAGAAAATATACAGCAATGTGTATTTCAACTGTACAAGCAAAAATACTTTTTGTAACATGGAATTCCAACAGCTTTTTCCTGAAATAAACCAGTCGATTGCAGTCAGACATTTTAAATCAGTTAAAAAAGAAATAAATAAGAGTGAATCTGTGTGAAAACATGAACACAATATTAAGAAAATGAAAAACTGAAAACAAATTTTTGAAACACAATGGAAGCATTCCAGGAAAACTTCCAAATATGAATTATATCTAGATCAAGGCTGAATGAAATTTAAAAAGTTGTGCTGATTCATTTTTTTAAAGTGAGGTTGAGATAACTGATAACTTTCAATATGCTTTTTATAGACTCACACAAGGTTTTYCATAAAGAACTCTTTCACTTCCTATTCTTAGCCAGCTCAATATACCTATCAAAGGATGGACTTGTGAAACACACCATGGAGATCTAAAATGGCCTATTCAGAAAAACAGATATTTTAAAACAGGGAAATTTGGCTTTGTGTATGGGATTCAGGTGCAAAAAGACATTTTGATAAGTCCCAAAAAGAATTCTGACATTAGGCTTCTTGAGGAGGAATTATTTTGGCTTTTTTGTTTATACTGACAAGTTTGCATTTGATTATTTTTAGGATATTTTATAGCCATGAAAATTCAGCAGACAATGAAATTACACATGGTATTGTAGAACAACCTAGCTGCAAATCTGTTTTGTCTTCTGTGAACACCGCTGTGTTTGTTGTATGTGAAATTTGTGCTTAGGCTTTGAGCTCCATTGCCAGTCAGGTTTGACTCCTCCCCTTAACATCTCTATTAGAACAGACCTACTAAACATGGGAACAAACATTTTACAAAATTACTTCTTTTATTTTTTCCTCTGTCTTTTAATTATATATCATTATTTCACTTTCTGCACAGGGACCCTGTGGATGGTTAGACAGAAGCACTAAGTCTTTGCTTAAAGGCTCAGGCCATAGGCATTTGCCTTCAGTGGTGATCTGCAATAACATCATTTATATTTACTAAAGTAAACAAACCTCCTAAGTAACCAAAACAGATCATTTTACACAGCTTCTTCATGCATATTAAAAAAAAAAACAACATAAAAACAAAAACAAAAAACTATGTATCATCTTTTTTAACTATGTATCAGCTTTTTTTGATTGAACTGAAGWACTGAAAAGTAACTTAAAATTACTTATATTTGCTACAAAAAAAGAAAGAAAACTTGAAAATATATATTTGATTTAGATTTTTTTCCTCCTCTTTCAATAAAACTATTTTGGAGAGCTTAGAATGGAAAAGGGTATAGCTATTCAGTAAAACTGGGATCATTACCTTCACTTTCAAAYGATCCCAAGCTTTCATCATTCAATTCTCATTCAATATTCATACAGAGAACAGTCTTTCACAATGTTGCACTTATACCAACCTACCCAGTCTTGTGGAAATGCTTTCAGCAATCCTTGGCACATCAGGGGGCTCTGTCAAGGACAGTGACTGCGATGTTTTGGGTTTTATCCTCCACACCCATTCTGTCAAAGTGAGTCCCCTAGCACTGAGTCAGCCAAGCTAATGAGCAGAACATCCCCTTGCCCAGACTGAATTTCTGCCTTGTCCCAGAGTACATTGCCCTTTGAATCTTCTTTCAAGCATAGGCACATAGCCTTATGTTTTAAGAATAATATTTACTCAATTTTTAAAATTATATTTGTAATTATTTCATTACTTTAGAATTGGGTTTGCTTCATAGACCTGAGTCATACCACACAGGCCAAGTATTTTTCTAGCAATAACTGATCAGAGCAAATGTTTTCATTAAATTCCAAATACATCTGAATATATTCTGCATCTAACAATTATACTATTAACAGACAGCTGCTTGCAACTCATCAGAGGCCWGAGCAAAGAAATAAATTCATCTGGTATCGGTGCCAATGTTTTCCTGCTATGTACCATTTTGAAAAACCTGAGAGATTAATATTTGCAATTTTATTTAGAGCAGAGCTTAAAAAACAGAGCTCTGGGAATCACTGCAATACAACTCCATATTCTGCTTTTGCTCACCAAGAGAGCTTTTTCAAGCAGCCAGGCATTCTGCTAACTYAGTAACCCAGGAGTAAAGCTGAAATTCTCATGCTCTGTATAAAGGCTCTATTAGTATGAGCAACTGTGATTTGCATTCACTTTATAACATGCAACATATATAAAAAAATCTCCATTATTAGGTGGATTTTAAGCCAATGTTTCAGGTTAATCTACCTAGCACTAATGCCTTGTGAAGCACAGCTAACCTGTGCCAGGAGAAAGCTTCAGTTTGGACAAAGACTGAACTATTTCAAAAGCATTCCACAACTCAGGAACACCTGATCCTGGTAGAACACCTTGGCACTAATCTAAGACTGATTTCCTAAAAAGAGCAGCCTGAAACTGCTCTGCTCAACAAYTTTACCATTTAATTAAAGATACAATTAAACTCTAATCAAGTAATGCATTGTAATTTCTATTCATGAAGCAATATTTCAGATTGCATTAATACCAGAGATCAAAGTACAAAAAGAAGTCCTTTCCTTTTGGAAAAGTTTGCTGCTCATTCCATGCATGTCAAATGGCATTTTCTATAACTTCCAATTAAAGAAAGATTAAAGGAATCGATTTGCCTTCTGATTAAAAACTGAGACAGAGATTGGTTTTAATATATGAGAACAGAAAAATCTCCATCCTCAAAACCAAGATATATTCATTTGAAGGGATTAATGCTGACTCACCCAAAGTGCAGAATAAGGAGTTAAAGTCACAGATTCCAGATGCACTAAAGCAACACCAGGAATTCAAGGAGATTTCACCTCTAAAATGCTCAGCAAAATGTCTTGCAATAATCCCCTGCCCTGTGGCTCAGGGGTACACTGTACCAGAAGATGTGTCACATTTAGGGGCTCTCAATCGACTTGTTCTGTCTCTTTTAGAGACCATGAGGCTTTTAGCCTTCATAACTCCTATGGCAAGGGCACCACCAAGCACCACCCTTCTCACCCTTTGTCTTTTTAAAGTTTGGGTCTTCCTTTTTCAATTTCAGTTCTCAGTAGTTTGTCCATCACATCAACCAGAGAGCAGACGAGATAATGGGTGATACAAAGGACAAAGTATTTTTCAAATCTCCTAATTCTGTTTCACCATAATAATTGATGTGTACTATGCATTAATTGTTTGGCTCTTTATATTTACAGCTTATATGTTGGTGAGTCTGCAGTGTTGAAGAATTATCTTAGCTGATTGGATGAACTTGGTACAGTCTGAAACTGYCTCAAGTGGCATTTGGGTGAATTATCTTGTGAGCTGTGCTGCAGATGAACTCAACTGTTATTACAACACAACATAAAGGATCAGAGACCAAGACTGAAGTAAAACGGGGAAACAGTTTGCAGCAGATGTAACCCTTTGTGTTACACAGCAGCAGATGGCAAACTTCAATCTAAAGCATCAATTAGAAACCATTAAAATCTCCCTATCTGTGGTAATTTATGCCTATCTGTGGTAATTTATGCCTATCTGTGGTAATTTATCCCTATCTGTGGTAATTTATCCCTATCTGTGGTAACTGTGAGTAAAATCCTCGTATGCAATTGCATGTAAATCAAGGTCTTACTTTTCTGTACACCTGGTATTCTTTTGTTGAAAATTCTTGTCAACCAAATTTGAAATTAATGTAAGATCTAAYTGGGACTGATAATAGAACAAAACCTCTAATTCTGCATTCATACCATTACAGATAAAAAGTGCTGATGCATTAATCTATTTTATCTTTCCATGATGTTTCAAACCCTCTTAATTTTGTAAAGTTTCTTAGTTTCCATAGGTTTTAACCTTACCTTCCTCTTTTCATAACATTCCAACAGACACACAACTGGTAGTTTTACTTAGTGCTACCCATATTCYGCCTCATCATCCTCTGCATTGCTCAGACTGACAAACTCAGTCTCTTGACAGGTGTAAAAATCCCTCTGACATCAGTATTTTGTGAAGTGGGACTAACCCTGTGT